ATATATATATATATATAATTAAATTTAATCAATAACAAATTTTTAAAAAAAAATATTATTTATAAATTTATATTTTTATATTTGATATCAAAACAACAAAAAATAGACCTTGATACATTGTTTCATATATTTATTTATTTTTGATTGTCAACAAAACACATGGTTATCCAATTATCGGGTAATTATTGATCGGTTTATTTGTTGGGTATGTTTTTGTTTTTGGGCACCGGCACATTACTGTGCTTAACAACATGACATTTAATATGCTTATGCCGACTACGGAAAGCCTTGATCAGATAGTTGGTGGCCATCGGGCTAACAGTTCTAACATATAGCATAGTATTGTGAAGAACCGGTAGTTTTTCGACGTACGGTTCAACCGAAACTATTTGCGAACCGTTAACTTTATTGTCGTTCCAGTTGTCCACTAATTGACGTACGAAATCAGTTAAATCGGTTACACCGTCGATGGTGTCCGCCAGTCCTCCTGTGATACACAATGTATACGATTGGCCACTAATCGGATCGTAATGATAGCGATACGAGTGCGGTAACCATGAGATGCTACTCATACTACTACTACCGGTGCTTGAGTTATACTTTTCAGCCGCTGTCTTCAATAATAGACTATTATTTTTAGCATTTTTGGCCATAACATAGAAAAACGGTCGGCTATGATTGTCGGTATCGGTATGACTACTAGCCGTAAGTATTGTGTTTTGTTCGACCGATTTGACCATTTCGGTAGTAATGTTCGGCTGGTTCCAGTCGGCGACCAATTGACGAACCGCTGCCAATGGATCCGATGATCCGTCAGCAGCAGGACTACCGATAGTAGTGTCCAAACCGCTAATCACTGAAATACGTTTACTGTTAACGACCACTTCTCTAATCTCTCGTTGTTTGTCCAATTGTTTCGGGTCCATATACTCTGACCAATTGATACCATTAAGTTTGCCGGTCTCGATCAGCGCACAGGTAGCTTCCGGACTGCATGCTGTCACAAATAGGGTCACCACCTGTTTGCTAGTCGACCGTTTGCCGGCATTGGATCGAACCGACATAATCATTGCACTGTTAACCCTGCCTTTTGATGGCCAGCTTTCGACCAAAAAGCGTACAAAACCAGTCAGATTGAGGCCGACACCACCGGCGGCACTGATGTCCAAACCCCGAACTACTGAAATGCATTTACTATTAGCCACTACTTTGTGTACATTATCCGACTTTTTCCGACAACCGCTGCTAATATAATATTCAGTCCAATCAATACCATTGTGTTGGGCTGTCTTAATCAGCGAACGGGTGACCACTTGACTGCTGGCCATAACAAATAGAGTAAGTCGTTGTTGTCCGCCGCCAGTCGTATGTTTGCTTGAATTGGACGACGACATAACCGACAAAATCGACGAACCGTTAATTTTCTTGATCTTCAAGTTGTTGACCAATTGACGGACAAATTTTGTCAAATTATCGACACCTGTTGTGTCTAAACCACGGATAACCGATTTACAATCAACAACACTTTGTTCGACCGATTGGACTTCGGTAGTGATGTTCGGCTCGTTACAGTCGGCGACCAATTGACTAACAGCTGCCGATGATGATTTGTTGTGACTATTATTAGTGACCACTTGTCGGACATTGATCGGTTGTTGATTGACCAACTTTTTCGGTTCCCGATATTCACACCAATTGATACCATAGTGTTTGCCGTTTTCGATCAGCGCACGGTTAGCTTCCGGACTGCATGCCGTCACAAATAGTGTCACTTGTTTGCCGCCAGTAGTCGGCCGTTTGCCGCCGGCATTGGATCGAACCGATAAAATCATTGCACCGTTAACTCGGCCTTTTGGCCAGCTTTCGACCAATTGGCGTACAAAACCAGTCAGATTACCGGCGGCAGTGATGTCCAAATCCCGAACTACTGAAATGCATTTACTATTAGCCACTACTTTGGTTACATTATCCGACTTTTTCCGACAACCGCTGCTAATATAATATTCAGTCCAATCAATACCATTGAGCTGTGCTGTCCTTATCAGCGAACGGGTAACCACTTGACTGTCGGCCGTAACAAATATGGTCAGCCGTTGTTGTCCGCCGCCAGTCGTATGTTTGCGTGAATTAGACGACGACGACGACGTAACCGCCGCCGTCGCCGACAAAATGGACGAACCGTTAACTTTCTTTACCATCAAATTGTTGACCAATTGGCGGATAAATTTTGTCAAATTATCGACGCCTGTGGTGTCCAAACCACGGATAACCGATTTACAGTCAACATTAGCGTCAGTTGTTTGTTGTTGTTGTTGTGGTAATTGTTTCGGTAAATTCAATGATGACTTAGACTTAGGCTTAGATCTAATAGACTTGAAACAGATCCTTAACGACTGGCCGATGGCCAGTACATCATCGTAATCACCCGTCGGTACTGCTGCTGATGGCTGTGATGTTGTTGTTGTTGTGGTTGACTGATCCCTAAACGGCTCTACCGACAGATGCTTCTGACCCGACTGACCCGTACCGGGCATTAGCCACTCGTTTGGCCAATAATCAGATTTTCGCCAGCGTCCCGATTGTTGGCACCAATCGGCCCATTCAACTAACTGGTCGCCACTGGTCTTCGGGTTTAGGTTTGACCACAACGAGCTGTTTCCGCCGCCGCCTCCACCGCCACTAGTGGCCAATCTTTTCATCAATGATTTGAGATCATTACGAATGTTGGCCGCCGTCGGTAACCGATTATTATTATTATTATAACTCATATTATTATTGTTAATGTAATAAGTTTTACGTTATTATTATTATTACTGTATTATGTGTTAAACATTTCAACAAAAAAACAAAACAATAAAAACAATAGTTATTAATAAATAACTAAATAAATACTAAATGTTTTCAATTTTTCAAATAATTTTTTATCAATGTATTAACCAATCAGCGCTCAGTATTATTATATAATACTGATATAATATTAATATTATTATTTGAAAAAAATTAGGTGTCATTCATTAACGATGTTCATAACTTATAAATAATAAAAATAGGGGTGTTAAAAATAGTCAATTAACTATACTGTAAAACAATTAAAAAGGGGGATCAAAAATAATATATTAATACTTTATCTATTATACATATTTTTTTATTAAAAAAAATTAATTACCAAGCGCAAAATTTAAATAGTAGCTAATAATTTATTATTATTTTTTTTTTAAAAATATGTTATAAAATAATTTGATAATTAGTTTTTTGTTGTTGTTGTAATTTTTTTTTATTATTAATAATATCAAAAAAATAGTAATATTAATTAAAAAAAAATTGTTATATTAATTATTTACATTCAAGAAAAATAAAATTAATTCTTAATTAATTAAATAATATTATGAATTATTTTTTAAAAAGTTTTTAAATAATTTATAATATAATAATAATTATTATTATTATTAAGTAATTTATATATATATTGATATTAATATGATAATAGATAATAGTGTAAATACACTAATAAAAAATATTTAAAAGTTTATTTTATAAACGGAATAAAATTATTTTTTTGAAACAAAACAAAAATTATAAAATATTTTTAAATATTATAGGAATTAACGGGTAATTGAAATATTAAATCTATTTTTTTAATCAGAAATTAAAGTATTATTTTATATTTATTATTGTATTGTTATATATTGCTATCATTTTAAAATAACTAATGATTGGTAGCACCGGTATTGTTGGCTATGTTTGAACACCCATAGGGTTACTACTACTACCGGTACTGTGCCTAACAATATGGCATCTAATATGCCGACTACGGAAAGCTCTGACCAGATCGCTAGCCGCTGACGGACTAACAGTCCTAACATATAACACATAGTTGTTGACCGGTATATATTGGAAGTACGGCTCTACCGATACTAACATTGAACGGTTAACTTTGTTGTTGCCGTCGTTGTCGTCCATATTGTCAACCAATTTCCAGACAAAATCAGTCAAATCGGTAACACTATCATCAATGTTGTCGCCCAGTCCTGTATACGACTGGCCACTAACCGAATCGTAATGATAGCGATACGAGTGGGGTAACCATGTAATACAACTGCGACTACCGTTTCTTTTCTTGTTTTTTGGCTTATATTTTTCGGCCGCTGTCTTCAACAATAGACTGTTAGCTTCGCTATCTTTGGCCATTACATAGAAAAACGGTTGACAATCGGGCGGTTAATATTAAAATTTAGGTGTCATTCATTAACGATGTTCATAACTACAATATAATAATTAAAAAAAATAGTCAATTAAAATGCACTGTATATTTACTAATACAACTAATTAAAAATTAGGGGGTATCAAAAAATAATACAATATATTATTAATACTTTATTGCATTAAATGTTTAGATAAAGTAATAAAGTTATTAAAAATAAGTTACCAAGCACAAAATTTTAAATAGTTGATAATATTTTGGGGGGTGGGTGGGGTGGATAGCATGTTATTAATACAATTGTAGTTTATATACTGTAATAATAAATAATTAAATATAATATTATCTATTAGTAGTAATAATAAATAGTAGTTAATAGTTAAATATTTTAATTAATAACATGTAGTTTTATGAAAAAAAAAACTTTTTATTTATAATATTAATCGTAAAAATTTTATTAGAAAACTTTAGAAAATTATTTTTACATTTACACAAAAAATTTAGTTTATAAATACAGTATTACATAAAAAAATAATTTTTTTCATATTTTAATGTAAGATATATGTCATATAATCATTAATTTAGTAATATATTAGTTTTTTTAATGTGACAATTGATACTATAAATCGTAGACAAAAAAAATAAATTGCTTATTTTATAACTATTATTACTAACCGATTAGCAAATTTATATATTTATATATATATTTTTTTAATAATTATATTTTTTAAATTTTAATTTATGAAAAAATAACCATGATGATAGTATTTAAATACTATCATTGTTATTTTTTTCATAAATAAAATTTCATATATTGCTGAATCAATCACACGTTAAGTGTGGGCACTGGTATTGGTTTTCAATCGGTTAGGTTTTCCAGATTGTTATGCTTAACAATATGACATTTAATATGCCGACTACGCAAAGCCATAACCAGATCGCTAGTGGCCGTCGGACTGACAGTCCGAACATATAACAACAAATATTCGAGAACCGGTAGCTTTTCGATGTACGGCTCTACCGAAACTATTATAGCACGGTTAATTATTTTATCGGTCCAATTGGCCACCAATTGCCAGACAAAATCGATCAAATTGCCGATACTGTCATAATCAATGTTCGTATAGTTTTCGGCCAATAATTTAATACACAATGTATACGACTGGCCACTAACCGGATCGTAATGTGACCGATACGAGTGCGGCAACCATGAGATACAACTACTACTACTAGTACTACCGGTGCTTGAGTTATACTTTTCAGCCGCTGTCTTCAATAACAGACTGTTAGCATCAGTATCTTTGGCCATAACATAGAAAAACGGTTGACTATTGTTGTCGGTATAACCTGTTGTTGTTATTGTTGTCAGTATTGTATTGGATTCAACCGATTCAATCAAATCGCCGGTAACTGTCGGGTCGTTCCAGACGTCGACCAATTGGCGAACCGTTGCCAACACATCAGCCGATCGGTGACCGCTAGTATTCAAACCGTGAATCTCTGAAATACAGCCACTACTGGTGACCACTTCACGTACTAAATCTGTGTCCCGATATTTATACCAATTGATACCGTTTTGTTTGGCCGTCTCGATCAGTGCATAAGTGGCCTCAAGACTACATGCCCTAACAAATAAGGAGGTCGTCAACAGGTTGTCGGCAATCGGTTGATTGGACTCAACCGACATAATCATTGCACCGTTAACTTTGCGGTTAGCTTTTGGCCAGTTGTCAACCAAACGGCGCACATACGCAGTCAGATGATTGTCGACACCAGGGATGTCCAAACCGAAAATCATTGAAATATTTTTATTATTTTCGATCACTTCCTGGACATCTCGTATTTGTTGTTGATTCAGATTTTTCGGGTCCCGATATTCTGTCCAATCAATACCATTTTGTATGGCAGTCATTAGTAGGGCACGGGTAGTCTTAGGACTGCATACAGTAGTCACAAATAGGGTGCCATTGGACGACAAATACGTAACCGACTTGATTGTCGAACCTTTAATTTTCCTGATATTCAAGTTGTCCACCAATTTGCGGACAAAATTTGTCAAATTTCGGACACCTTTGACGTCCAAACCACGGATAACCGATTGAACCAATTGTGATGATTTTGATCGACGATAGCTTAGGTATGGCTCCCATTTAATACCAATACTAGTACTACTACTACTATTAATATACTTATCAGCGGCCGCTAGCAATTGAAGATTGGCTTCAATCGTACCGGTCGTCACTAACATGTTTGCGGTGCCATTTGTCAACGACAGTCCGTACCGTTTGTTCTGGTCAACCGATCGGATCAATTCACTGGCGTTGGTCAGTGTCGGATCGTTCCACGACTGGACCAGTTGTCTAACGGCAGCTAATACCGAGCTTTTGTTATCTCCAATGTTGGCCAGTCCTATGATAATTGAATTGCAATCATTAATATTGTTAGACTGGCCGACTGGCACATCACCACCCGGTGCTGCTGCTGTTGGTGTTGTTGACTGATCCAGATTTGATACCTCCTGTTGAGGTCCCGATTGTTTTGATAGTAATCGATGACAGCACTGGTATGGCAACCATTTAATACCAACATTACTGCTACTACTACTACTGCCGTCGCCAGTATTGTTAAAATACTTATCGGCGGCGGCAAGCAACTGGCGATTGGCCTCAACTGTAGGCGCCGTAACCAACACGTTTGCGGTGCCATTTATCGGCGATCGGCCAAACAGTTTGCCGTTACAATCGACCGATTCAATCATATAGTTTGGGGTAAGCATCGGATCGTTCCACGACCGGACCAGTTGTCTAACGGCTGCCAACACTGACTTGTTTTTATACTTAGCCGACGACCGTGACTTATGTACCCGAATGCTGGCCAATCCTATGATAATAGACTTGCGATCGTTAATATTGGAGATTATCGACGACAGATCAGATGCCGCCACTTCTTGATTGCCATTGTTTTGTTGTAGTGATAGACACTGGTATTTGGACTTCCATTTAATACCACTACTATCGGTGCCGGTATTAAGATACTTATCGGCGCCGGCAAGTAACAGGCAATTGGCTTCGACCGTACGGGCCGTAACCAATACGTTTGCGGTACCATTTGTCAGCGATCGGCCAAACAGTTTGCCGTTACGTTCGACCGATTCAATCAAATCATCGGCTATGTTGTTGTTGTTGATCATCGGATCGTTCCACGACCGGACCAATTGTAGGACGGCAGCCAACACTCGTTTGTTAGCGTTTGGGCCACTGTTGGCCAATCCTATGATAATTGATTTGCGGTCATCACTATCATCCGACATCGCTGACACTACTGACCGATTGCCACTAATTTGTTGTTTCTTTACCGTACACGGCATTAGCCACTGGTTTGGCCAGTAGTGGGATTTTCGTCTGTGTCCCGATTGTTCGTAACGATCGGCCCATTCAACCAATTGGTTGTTAAGTGTCTTCGGGTCTGTTGACCAGAACGAGCCGCAGCCGATGCCGCCACTGGCGGTCAGATCTTTCATCATTGATTTGAGATCATTGCGAATAGTGGCCGCTGTCGGTAACCATTGCTGTTGCCGTTTATTATAATTATTATTATTACTCATATTATTATTATAAAAACGCACTAATAATTTATAACTTTTATACTTTATTTGGATATAAATTATTTTAATATAAATGTTTTTTTAATGGAAACAATAGATAATAATATTATAATTAAATTATTTTTAAAAAATTAATTATTATAAATAGGATTTATTATACATTATTATACTGTATTAATATATAATAATATTAGTCACAAGTTATGTATTATTAGTCAGTGATTTATAATTATACTAATAGTATAACTGATTATTATTATTATATATTGTTATTGTTATTATTATATTTATTATTATAATTAAAATCAGATACTGTAAACCTGGATACAAAATATAAAAGATAAGCTATTTATATTATTTAATATTAATTTTAAAAATAAACTTTATGCAATAATAATTATTGCTATTAAATAACTTTATACTAGGCAATTTATAATAATAGCATTTAAACATTATAACATTGCTCGTCTATTAATTAATTAATTATTTAATTAATTATTATTTTTATTGTATAATAAAATAATATTATAACTATTATTTAACTAAATAAATATTATTTTATGATATATAATTTAATTAATAAGTAATAATAATAATTAATTAATATTTAGTAATATCAATAAATATCTATAAATGTGTATATGAATATTTATTTTTATTTTTAAAAAAAACTAATTAATATAAAAATGAGACAAAAAATAAATGTAATTTTATTTACAAAACTATAATATCAAACAGTATTTTAATTATCATATTATAATAATAATTAATATAAAACATTCTAAATGATGTTTTTAAGTATAAATTTTTAAAAAGCTCTTAAATTTCAAATTAAAATCAATATTTTTTTTGGTTAATAAATAACTTATATATATATAATTAGTTGTTAATGCTATTTTAACAAAAAATTATAAATAATATAAATAATATAAACCAATTGTCCGACAAATACTTAAAAATGTAATTAGTTTTAATAATAAATTAATTATCAAATAATATTTGTCATCAACAATACGATTCCTATTTAATATATTATATACCGATTGTGTAACCATTTAACCAGTTTATCGGCAAATCTTATATTATAATAATTTTTCATCAGTGATGATAATTTATTAATTATCATATTTGCATATATATATATATAATAATAATTTAATAGTATAATATATTAAATATTAAAACTAGACGTGCAATTAAATTTATTTTATTAATCAGTATATGTAAACTAAATTTTAATAAAAACATAATTAATAATATAACAAGTTTTATTTAATTATTTTTAATAACTAACTAAACATGCTAAAATATCATTAATATATTTTTTAAATATAATAATATTGTTGAATAAAATTCAATTATCATTATTCATAAAATATCATAAAAATTATTCTTAAATTTACACGTTTGCATGTTTAGTATAGTTTAAAAAATGGAAATATTTAATAATAATAATAATTATTATTTTAGTATTTATTAAAGTATAATATAATTTTTTTATAGAATACATAAAATATCAATTTAATTTAAAAATAGGATATATTATGTGAAACTATAACCAAACTATTATATCTATTATAACTATAATATTATATAAACTATCATAATTTATGATTCATAAATAAGGTACAGGGATCAACATCAACAAATTTTGATATCTCTACGGGAACATATAGAAAATGGCGGTCAAATTACCAAAAAAAATCAAATTAAATTTTTAATAATTAATAATTTTGAATTAATCATCGAAAATATGTTATATGGAATTAACAAACAATTTTTTTATATCTTAAATAAAAGTATAAAAATGAAAGTATAGTTAATACTTTTGTAAATTCAAGTTAAATTTAGAGTAAATATAATAATTTATTTTAGTTATTTTATATGAATAAAAAGTTTAGTTTATTTTGTCATACTGAGTCATTTGATACCTCACATAACTATAGTTGAGTTAATTTTGTCATACTGAAGCATTTGATACCTAACATGACTATAGTTGAGTTAATTTTGTCATACTGAAGCATTTGATACCTAACATGACTATAGTTGAGTTAATTTTGTCATACTGAAGCATTTGATACCTAACATGACTATAGTTGAGTTAATTTTGTCATACTGAAGCATTTGATACCTCGCATGACTAAAGTTGAGTTTATTTTGTCGTACTGAAGCATTTGATTTTAATTTAATTTCGGATTACGAGTACGTATGGAAATGCTTTCTAGCATTTTCAACTGATTTTAATTTATTTATTAGAAATTGTTAAAATAAGCCAATAATAAATATATAATTTGAGCTACAAATTAGTAATAATTGAAATATTTCCCAATTAGTTATCGGAAATAGCGATAAACAATAGAAACCAATTGTCGGTCCACTTAGTCGTCCGATAAATGTTTCGCATTTCAAACGCTCAACTAATGTCAAGTCACGACCCTTAAGACAACTATTATTATTATTATTATTATTATTATTATTAGCTAACAATGAAAACATTAGGGCATATGGTTTGTGTGCTTTGGCCGGTATTTTACCGCACATATAGCTATGCAGTAATGAATTAATCAAAACTAATAGAAACATTAAAATCATTATTGTTTTAAACAATTGACTTGAATCGCGATGTTGTGTCTGATATAGTAGTAATAGTAAAGCAGTTGATCCGACAAAATATAATAGAAATATGGCTTTCGATAGTAGTTTAGGTGTCGATCATAGTATGCCATAATCATTGGCAAACTGTGAACTAAATTCAAATAGATATAAACAAACCAATAAATAAATCTATTGGGAAATGTTATGACAACAAAATAGTAGTATAGCTTTTTTACAGTATTAACATTATTTAAATTGGTTTTCAATTTCAATAGATTGATTACATCAGTAATTAATTGTTTAAAATAATTGGTTTCAAACAACTGGTACCATAACATTGCAAACGAACCAATAATTAGTGTCAAGTGTGCCAACAATATAAATGTTTCAATCAATTGTGAATTACCGTACAGATAGGTCGGATCGCATAGAAAACGGATAAGCCATCGGTTAGACCAAACTTTATTATTATTATTATTACTATTAGCACTACTACTACTACTACTACTACTACGACTACTACTACTTTTATTACTGTTGCCTATATATAAACCAATTTCCCGACAAATACATAAAAATGTATTGAATTTGAATAATAAATTAATTAGCAAATAATATTTGTCATCAACAATAAAACGATTCATATTTATTATATAACGATTGTGTAACCATTTAACCATTTTATCGGCAAATCTTATATTATAATAATTGGTCATTAATTTATTAGTTATCATATTTGCATTGTATATATATACTTTAAATAATAATTTAATAGTATAATATATTATATAATAAAACTAGACTTGCAATTAAATTTATTTTATTAATTAGTATATGAAAACTATATTTTTTAATAATAACATAATTATTCATATAACAAGTTTTATTTATTTTATTTTTAGCTAACTAACTAAACATGCTAAATTATCATTAATATATTTTTAATAAAATTCAATTAATCAATAACTATAAGGATATTTTAGTGTTTTATAATAATTTTTTTAGAAATAAATAACTATTATTTTGGTCTAATTATTAATTAGTAATTAATATAAAAACCATATTATTTAATCAAACTAATAATACTAAAAATATTAATTTTCTAAAAATTATTCATAAATTTAATTATATATTTGCATGATTAGCTTAGTAAAAAATGGAAATATTTAATAATAATAATAATAACTATTTTAGTATTTATTAAAGTATAATTTTTATAGAATTATATAAAATATTAATTTAATTTAAAAATAGGATATATTGTGTTTAAAACTAGACCAAACAATTATACTTATAAAAACAATTATTTATTAGTTTTAACAAATAATTTTATTTACTTATATAATACAGTATTAAAAGGTTTAGTTTAGTAAAAAAAATGGAAATATTTAATAATAATAATTATTATTTTAGTATTTATTAAAGTATAATATAATTTTTTATAGAATTATATAAAATATTAATTTAATTTAAAAATAGGATATATTGTGTTTAAAACTAGACCAAACAATTATACTTATAAAAACAAATAATTTTATTTACTTATATAATATAACATAAACACCTATAATAACTATCAGTATTTTAGTTATCATAGAATAATAGCAGATATTTAAAACTATTATATATTACAGAAATATAAATTAAATAAATAAGATATTTAAATATATATACTGTATATATATATTATTTTACATTTAGTTATTATTAATAAATTATTTAAAAAATTATCAATAGCATAATTATTAATAATAAATTATAAACATTTTGTTTTAATTAAGTAACATATTATGTTTTTAATTTTTCAACGATATCATATTAATTGTAATTAACATTATAAAATATATTACATTTATTTTTGATGTTTTTTGTATTTTTAATATTTTTTGTATTTTTAATATCTTTTGTATTTTTAATATTTTTTGTATTTTTAATGTTTTTTTGTATTTTTAATATTTTTTTGTATTTTTAATGTATTTTTTGTATTTTTAATGTATTTTTTTGTATTTTAAATTTATTACAATATATTTTGTTTGTTTGATTTTACTCTTTTGGTAGATTTATTGATAGAGAGAGAGAGAGAGAGAGAAAAAAAAGTAATTATTAGGTAAAATAATAATTGTATGATTACTAGTAATTAAAGATATTTTAGTTGTTGTTATTTTTTACTAACAAATTATTAACAAAAAAATTAATGTCATTTTGAATAATACCGGTAATAAAAAAATACCGGTAATTAAAAAAATTGGCACTTTTTTCCTAAATTGTATTCAATTTACAATTAGTTGTCAGATAGTGTATAACCCGGGTCTCATTGTTGGTAATATCCATCAAACATAGCCAACAAAAATGTATCATGCACATTTTGCATTGCATATTATTGCAG